ATTTATTTTTTTGAATTTATTTATTTATTTATTTTTTTGAATTTATTTATTTATTTATTTTTTTGAATTTGTTTTTATTTATTTCAGAGGTAAAATTGTAGTGGCAGCCCTCGGCCACCATACATATGTACTTGGCATATATATAATATTGTAAAATAATATAATAATTAATATGATGTCAAATCTAACTGAATACAGTTCCCTAAAAAATAAACTAAAGCTTTTTCACCGTTCATTACGATACTCCGAGACACTTGTAAAGCCATATAGTAAGATCCTAAACAATAATAGTGCATATATATACTAGTATACAATAAGATAATGGGGAGAGAGGGGGCAAGGAGAGGTGACACGGAGAAGAGGAGGTAAGGGAGAGGGTAGAATGACAGGCGACACAGGGAGGAGAAGGTAAGGGAGAGAGTAGATCGAAGGACAGGCAACAGAGGAAGGAAAAGCCTTACCGCTTCGCTCTTTTACTCTGGTTCATGTCTTATAGACTCGCACCCTTCTTGACACATGAGCCTCCAAGGGCCTGTGGTAGAATCTTAGATGGGAGAGAGAAAAAGGAGAGGTGACACAAAGACTGCAAGATGATAAGTAAAGGTGTATTAAAGGTAAGAGGATGGAACAGGGGCGTAAATCCCGGGGGGATGGGGGGATGCATCCCCCCCCGCTCTTGAAGGAGGGGGAGATGGCCTGTACAAATATACCCCCCTAAAATTCAAAAAAAAAGAAAAAAAAGAAAGAAGGAAGAAGAAGAAAAAAGAAAGAAATGTGATTGTTTCAATTTCAGCGTAATGCATGAGAAATGAGTTTCTTAAATGTATGTATAACTGTATAGCCTACAGTACAATTCAGCGTTAATCATGGCTATTGCATGGTATGCAAGACAGACTTTCAAGTGGGGCACCGAGGAAGGAGTGACTGCCAGAGGCATATAGTCTCTCAAAAGTACAAGTGCTATGCGGGTGCAGTAGAATCGATCCATCCAATATACCCAATATATCAAGCTTCTTTGCAGCAGATAGAGAATTGTCTGTCTTGACGCAGAAGTGAGATTTACGGATTATTTAATTGAACACAATGTGCCTTTGAGAGCGGCAGACCATGCAAATAAACTCTTCAAGAAAATGTTTCCAGGCTCACAAATAGCCAAAAAGTATGGTTGCAAACATACAAAAACACGTGAAATTGTAAGAAATTGCAATTCTTACCTGTGTTTTAATACATGTATTATTACTATATATAGTAACCTAACTACAGTAACCTCTCTGAAAAGTAATGAAAAGTGTTTTGAATCCTAACTTGAGGGGGGAGTAGGGTTGAGTCTAGGGTTGAGATAGTGTCATCAGACATGCGAATATAGCCCACAGTATGCCTCAGATTGCAGGAATGGTTGTGTCCGTGTTGTAGTCGAGTCCGCACCCCCCGATTCCAAGTCCGAGTCCTCACCCCCCGAATCCGAGTCTGAGTCCGAGTCCGCGCCACCCGAGTCCGAGTCCGAGTCCGAGTCCACACCACCCGAGTCCGAGTCCGAGTCCGAGTCCAGTTTTGATAAAAAAAGGGGAAAAAGGGAAAAAATCGCAACTGTGCATCGTAGACATTCGAAAGTGTATAGCGATGTGCGAATTTTTTTTCACGCAAACGGTATATATAGGAAGGATTAGGCGCCTTCTGATTGGCTGGAATTTGGCAAGATTCAGCCTCTCATGATTGTGGCCAAAATCCGCAATTATCTGTACCAAAAACTTTCCGAACTTTCTCGTCACGCCTCCCTAGCGCCTCTAACAGTAATTTTAGTCATCGCTCTCTCTCTCCTAACACAACTCACTCGGTTTGAGTGAATTAACGACGCAAATATCATGCGTTCTTTGACTGATTTGCTTTGACTGACAGAACACCTTCAGATCAAGAGAACAAACCGCCGTTGTAAATGTTTGTTTTTTGGTTTATGACCGCTATGAACAGTATGAAGTTTTCTGATTCTTTTCGGGTTCAAGGATAGAGAAATGAGTCGCGGCAACAAAACGCGAATGTCATTTGCATCAATAATAAGAATATAATATTAATATCATATACTTACGCGGTTAGGTATACTGGTTAGGGTTAAGGATTAGGGTTAAGGTTAGAATTAGGGTTAGGGTAGGGTTACGGCACATTGGTTTTATTGGGACCCATGTTCTCTATCCTTGGGGTCACTTCCGTTTCCACTAATTTGAAGACGACTGTGATATCGTTACTCTTCCGTCATTTTAGTAGACAGATATAATATTACTATAGTGAAAACAGGCAGGTGAATCTTCCTTTGTAGCAATATGTCGTTGATTCGGGCATACTTAAATCTATAAGATATGGGTAGTTCTAGGCGTTATGTATAATGAGTTGATATGCTGCCGAATGCCGATGTTCGTGCCGTGGGTCTCGCGTTACGCGTCTTACTCACGTATCTCAAGCTAGAGCCTCAGGTTAACTACGCCTGTAGGTGGGCCATAAACTTTCTCACTTGCTAGCATTGGAATCATGACGACTCACCTCTCAACGTACTAGTGATACTTGCAGGTACGTGTTATAATACTTACTCCGACACCGCTCCGCGCGAGATACGACACGAGTACGTAATAGCTAATACAGGTCGTAGCTCTAGTATACTGTCGTAGCCTTCGCTTCCTTCCTCCGACCTCCACCTGCGACGGATCGCCCGCACGCACTAACACGGGCTACCATAACCGATGATGGCCGCTGGTACAATACGTACGCATATGTAATATTCGAGAGCTCAGACCTCTCCTACTTGAGATTCGAGATGAAAATCACATTTGCAGAAAGAATTGCAATTATACTCGGATACTTTAATATGTTATATTCATCGGAGGAACACACCGACATACTGCTATTTTCATGGAAAATACATCAGAAAACGCTCCTCTCTCTGAAGCGCGCTCCGCATGCGAAACCAAACAACCATTTACAAAGGTGCGTTTTGTTCTCTGTCAAAGGCAACAGACCAAAATCGCAAGCACACGACAAACATAGTAGCGCGCTAAATTCTTCGCTATGTATACCGAGTTTGGGAAACACAATACAAATTCTCGACACCACTCGGACCGGACGGTGCCACCCGCACGGTCTGTCCGAATGTCCGGATAGCTCGTCACCAACCTTCGCTCCATCGATGCAGATGTGCAGCGTGATGCTGTCGTGATCGTACTCCGCATTCTCCAGTGATTGTAACAGACGCCGCAGCGAGTCTGCACTGTTGTACGTGAGCACTGTCACCGCTCAGGTGAAAACTCTCTTTTGTTACTTTTTCAGAGTATCGCAAATTGCTTTTGTAGCCATTGTTGACGAAGTACACTCGCAATAACTCAATCACGACATTATTGCGCCCACTATAGTTACTATAGCTGTCGTGAGCTAACCTACACCATACATGCGCTCCATAAACATGTTTGCGAAGGCAAGGAGAACGATGATTAGTGGTCGCATAAACGTAAACGTAAGCATACATTTGCTACAAGCGGAGACAAAAAAGTATCGATGGTCTAAAGGGGGCTTTAATGTGCGGCTCGGTGCGAGCCGAACTCAACTGGAAGACAAGCTGGCACTTGCGAAGCACCATCGAAGCGATCAGCAGGGCGACTAGTTGCGGCTTCCAGGTTGCCCACGTGTTCTATTGCCGAGCAACTCGTGGCGGGCCCGTATCGCAGGCAGTCGGCGTCGCGACAGTCGAACGCGCCCTAAGGCACCTGCTGTCGTAGTGTATTACAGCGCCAGTTCGCTTTCACCACATCGAGGTCGCTCGCAGCGGCCGACATAGAGGGCCCCCATGCGAACCCCATAAGGCCCATAAGGCGCAATACTAACACCATATAAGCCCCGAGGAAGCCGCCACGGAAAGCGTTTTCGCGTTTCCCCTACCGGCAAGAGTTCACGCAACGATCTATTATATCAAGAGCATACAATAATAGGTATTATTTTAGCTCTTGAGTTATATCTTATTTATAATAATTCGTCTCTGCAAGCCATGGCAGCGCTTCACTATGTGCTTGATTATCCTAGGGAAAAAATCACGCGCGGGGTACACACAGATACACGCGCATGTACACGGACGGATACACGACCGGACTGGATCGCAATGAATCATGGTAGTGGCTAAACTTCCGTTATTCTTATTTTATTTAGTGGGTCAGTCCCAACGCGTATACTGATGTTCACTTTTAGTGGAGGCTCGGCCAACGCGTAAACCTGATTTTAGCTTACTAATGAAGTTTATTTTTTTGAATTTATTTATTTATTTATTTTTTTGAATTTATTTATTTATTTATATTTTTTGAATTTGTTTTTATTTATTTTGGTGTGTGTGTGTGTGTGTGCGTGTGTGTGTGCTACCTAGGTGGCCGCCATGCTGAGCCATGGTATGAGAAACTGGACTTTCGTCCAGATCAATATAAAGTAAGGGCCTGTGTTAGGCGTGATCGGCTCATCATCAATTCGTTAGGAATGCTTACCCAGAGATATCCTGCAATATATGCGGGTCCTATGATGCACACGTACATATAAGATATCTGATTTCATAAAAATTGTCAACGGAAATATTCAGCGGGATAGCCGTCCCAATCCAGGCGTATAGAATTTGCAGAGAATTGCCCGTACGCTTCATCCCATGCAGCCAAAGGCTCAACATCGCATTTTCCAGTTTGTCTTCGTCTCGTCTTGCCTTTCTTCCCGTCTGACCGCCGCACGCACGCGAGCGTTTTGCTGGCGGGCAGGTTTGCGTACAACGTGAACAGATTGTGGGTAGCCATGAAGTAATACTGGTAGTATTCGATACTCATGGCATTCCGCCGCAGAAAATCATTAGTAATCCAGGAATTCATGACGACATTCTGGCTCAATACATACGGAAGAAATTGATCGGTGTCTGCAGTTTTATTCATCGTTGTCAGCAACCATTGTCTGAATTTCCTCCAGATACTCGGCATAGGAGCGTAGCCGCTGTTCGAAGAAAAGCGATAAAGAAAAGCCGTCTGATTCCCACAAACCGTGCAGAGGGGGTCGCGGTGGTTCATGGGTATTTGTCCAGCTACCAACGTCTCCCTAAACAGCGTAATGCCTCCAACCTCACGATGACCGCTGTAGGTGATAATTGCGGCTTTCAGCCACCGATAGTAATACGGTGAGAGACGTAGATCGTCTTCTAGTATCAGTCCGTAATTGCCGGGAGAGACGTCTGGGTTCCAGCAGTCTAACCATTGCGCGGTCACGCCGACGTTACGCGAGCGCACTGTCAACACTTTCTCACCGTGCGTGAACTGGAATCGCCCGGCCACCCGCACGGTCTGTCGATGTCCGGATAGCTCGTCACCAACCTTCGCTCCATCGATGCAGATGTGCAGCGTGATGCTGTCGTGATCGTACTCCGCATTCTCCAGTGATTGTAACAGACGCCGCAGCGAGTCTGCACTGTTGTACGTGAGCACTGTCACCTCCAGGTGAAAACTCTTTTTTTTACTTTTTTCAGAGTATCGCAAATTGCTTTTGTAGCCATTGTTGACGAAGTACACTCGCAATAACTCAATCACGACTATTGCGCCCACTATAGTTACTATAGCTTGTCGTGAGCTAACCATACATGCACGCTCCATAAACATGTTTGCGAAGCAAGGGAACGGATGATTAGTGGTCGCATAACACGTAAACGTAAGCATACATTGCTACAGAACAAAAAAAGTATCGATGGTCTAAAGGGGGGCTTATGTCGGGCGTGCGAGCCGACTCAACTGGAAGCAACTGGATTTCGAGCAACTGGAAGCGATCAGCAGCGACTAGTTGCGCCCAGTTGCCCACGGTTCTATTCCGAGCAACTAGTGGCGGCCAGTCGCAGGCAGTCGCGTCGCAGTCGACCGACCTAAGCACTGTTGTCGTAGTGAATTACAGCCAGTTGCTTCCAATCGAGTCGGCTCGCAAGCCCGACATAAGCCCCCCATCGAACCCATAAGCCCATAAGCCCATAATACCCCCATATAAGCCCCGAGGAAGCGCCACGGAAACGTCGCCGTTCACCCCTACCGGCAAAGTTCAAATCTATTATATCAAGAACTAATAATATCAAGAGCTATAATAGGTATTATTATTAGCTCTTGATTATATCTTATCTTATAATAATTCGTCTATCAACCAATGGCAGCGCTCACTATGTTCTTGATTATCCTAGGGAAAAAAATCACGCACGCGGGTACACACAGATACACGCGCATGTACACGGATACACGACCGGACTGGATCGCAATGAATCATGGTAGTGGCAACTCGTAAACTGATTTCACTTTAGTGGCAGCTCACGGCCAACGCGTAAACTGATTTCACTTTAGTGGCAGCCCTCGGCCAACGCGTAAACTGATTTTACTTTACTAATGAG